GAAATGTTATTCGATGTATAATCCGAATAATGAATCAAGTTTTATTCGAAATGTTATTCGATGTATAATCCGAATAAACTTATATTCAAAGAATTTATTCTGATTATATTTATTATTTATTTATTATATATATATATATATATATATATATATATATATATATATATAATTATATTATTATATATTATTATTATTATATTATATTATTATATATATTATTTATATTAATTATTTATTTATTATTTATCCGAATCAAATTTTATTCGATACATTATCCGAATCTAATTTTACTCAAAGAATATATCCAACTTCTGGTTTAGGACACGTGGGTCTTGCAATAATATGAATATTACAATTTAAATAAACTATAACGTTTAGCATTAATAACATCATTATGATATTATTATGGAACAATTGTAAAGCAGATTTTTTAGTATTTTTACTGGATTCGGATAACTTCTTTCACTGATTCCAGTCGAAGATTGTGAAGATTCTAGCTCGAGATTTAAAAGCGTCGTTTGAATTTGTGGCTTGCAAATCATAAAACGCACTATAATACGAACGAGATATACAGAATACTCGACTCTCGCTAAGAAGCTTAAATTTCTTAAATATCGGTAACGATGAACGCGATACTGGAATGGTAATGGGGCTTCAGAAGTTCCATTTTTGGCTGACAAAATCATACCTTCGGTGTCGAGTCTACTCCTATACTTCGTCTGTGAACAAGTCTCCACAGTCAAAAGTTTCGTCAAACCACAATCTGCGTTCTTAGCGAGAATCGAGTATTCTGTATACCCTTAATTGGACTACGGTATAAACGAATTACGAATAGACTGTAGACACTTTACCAACAAACGAGTTCTATTCTTATTGATTCTCTTTGTTACCTTTCGTCAGTACAATAGAAGCTTTTCAAAAATGTGCATAGAATTTGTTGATATCGAACGCTGCCAATTAAATTATATTTAAAATATATTTTAAATCAACAGTAAATTTATGAACGTTAAGTGTCGATAAACGGTCACCGGACTGTGCTGTCCTCCAGTGGCAGAATCCAGAACAGTACGCTCGATCAAAAAATTTCGAACCAATATTTTCCAAGATATATATTTAATATTATAAAAAAAATATTATAAAAAAATATTAAAAAAATATTAAATATATTTTCCAAGATATATATTTAATATTTTCCAATTTCCATCTATCAAAAAATATTTTCAGTTCTCAGTTTTAATTATAAAGCATAAAATGCCTTGAAATACTTGCAGAAACGAGAAAAATCGGAGCCACGAAGAATCGCGAAGCTTTACCTAGCCAAATTTCAAACGTCTAATTAACAAAAATTGGTTTCAGTTTAAACATCGTCGATCTAGATCAGGGGTGTCAAACTCAAAAGCTAACTTGGGCCAAATAAACAATGTTTAACTTTAGGTGGGCTGCCAAAAAGAAAAATCAATGTTCATAGAAACAAATATTTTTATTTTGACTAGTACATTGTAATAAACACATATATAAAGTTAAATCATTGTTTACATCCTGATACTTAAACAATAATTTAACTTTATATATGTTTATTACAATGTACTAGTCAAAATAAAAATATTTGTTTCTATGAACATTGATTTTTCTTTTTGGCAGCCCACCTAAAGTTAAACATTGTTTATTACGTCCTGATACTTGACATCTCTTCTCTGATACTATCTTTCCTATTTCGGGAGAAATTTCATTGGCCGAGACTACTTTCAAAATTTCTAATTCACATTTCTATTATATTTTTACTTTGCGTCGGATATATTGACTGGGCCGCAAAAATGTTCATCTCGGGCCGCGAGTTTGACACCCCTGATCTAGATCAGGGGTCATCTAGATGTTCTACGCCCGTTTCCTACGATATTTTGTCTTCGCCCATAAGGCATGCTTCGCCGATTTCATTTACCGAGCGTAGTCAAAGAAAGTAAACGGGAATTTTTCAAATTCCCGTGGCATACGGTAGTATCCCGTGAAGGGATTCCAAGCGTGGTTTCGATCGCGATATTCCCCGAAGGACGACGATCGGCGAGGCAAAGGGTGCGTTTCCAACCGCCGGCAGACAGATCGAACTTACGTAAACCTTCAATTAAACGAGGCTCGCGGTGCGTTCGAAAATCGGCGCGATGAGAACCCGATATCCTTGAAAGCAACGCGAGCTCGTATCATTATCCTCGCCGTTGTAACGACGACAATTATTTTCTTTCCCCCGGTGATCCGTTCCAATCCGTCGGGGACACGGCCGTCGAGAAACCGATCCGCGGAGAGAGCGGCGCAGATCAAAGACAGCCGGGATCAAAGCCTCTCCGTCGTCATCGTTCGTTGATCACGTTTCCTCCCCGTCGTCTCCTCGGAAAAACTTGGAAATTCAATTTTCCGGGAACGCACGCAACCGGCTGCGATTCTTCCTTTTCAAACCGATTCGGAGTTCCGTCGATGCTGCAGCCAATCTATTCGAGGCTTTGCATCTTCACCAGACACGCTGGTTTTGCAATATACTTTTGGTTTTGGCTGATTGGGAAATTCGTCTTGTTACAGTCGTGGATTAATGAATGTGGATATTTTCTTAAAGCGGAATAATGTTTATAAAACAAGATGAATCGTTTGAGATGATAAAAGGATCAGTTCAAAGTAGACAAGGTGTACAAAACTGTCTTGCAATATACTTTTGGTTTTGGCTGATTGGGAAATTCGTCTTGTTACAGACGCGGATTAATGAATGTGGACATTTTCTTAAAGTGGAATAATTTCTATAAAAGCGATCAGACAAGATGAATCGTTTGAGGTGTTAAAAGGATCAGTTCNCAATATACTTTTGGTTTTGGCTGATTGGGAAATTCGTCTTGTTACAGTCGTGGATTAATGAATGTGGATATTTTCTTAAAGCGGAATAATGTTTATAAAACAAGATGAATCGTTTGAGATGATAAAAGGATCAGTTCAAAGTAGACAAGGTGTACAAAACTGTCTTGCAATATACTTTTGGTTTTGGCTGATTGGAAAATTCGTCTTGTTACAGTCGTGGATTAATGAATGTGGACATTTTCTTAAAGCGGAATAATTTTTATGAAAGCGATCAGACAAGATGAATCGTTTGAGGTGTTAAAAGGATCAGTTCAAAGTAGACAAGGTGTACAAAATTTTTGAACGGTAGCAGTTGGATGGATGACAGAAAAGATAGAAGAAATCACATTTTTGAGCACTTTTATCTGAGCATATGACGAAAATTCAGGCAATACATTTTTTATTTACAGCTAAGAACGTGCATCCTTAATCCTATTCCTTCTGCTAGCCGCAAAATAATACAGCAGCATTTTTATATTCATATATGCACCTCCACAGTTTTCTGATTCGTTCAAACCCACAATCTATTAATAAAGAACGTGAAATCGATTTTAAATCTGACCAAAGAGCCGGGTCACATATACAATGCGCGTAGAAAGTTTTTAACACGTTGACTGCCACGTCGATCATTCATTGAGCGACTTGTATATTTTTATCATTTTTATAGTTTCAATCATTTCTATAATTTCTATAATATTAATCATTTTTATAATAAATATCATGGATATTTTTTCGTCAGATTTAGAAACAAAGTGTCGTCGCATATTCGAGCAGTCAAGATTTTATTAAGATTTGAAGCACGATGGGTGATTAAAGAAGCAATAATTCTAATGATTTTCAGTCCAGTATTAAATTTCGATTAAATTGGTCGCAGAGATTGTGCGACTTTTCGGAAGGATTCTCCAGACAAAAAAGGATCCGATAATGTACTCTAAAGTCCCTAAAAATCACGTCGTAAAACGAATCTCGAGTCGAACTATTCGAGAGGAAAAATGAATTCGGCCGTCGATATCGAGTCCGATTCGACGTTTACGCGTGTCACGCGGTCACGTCCGATACCGATGATCGATCTTTCGCCTGTCTTCGTGGGCGAGCATGAAATATTGCGGGCACGACACGGATTCGC